CTGTTCTAGATGTTTCTGCTGGAAATGCACATTTAAATTTAAACAACTAGACAGTGTGTAGACAGAAGGGGGAACCCAAAAGACATGTGTCCCTACAGCCGTGAGAAGCTGCTGTGACACCTGCCCCAATCGGCTTCCCGACCACACAGATGCCAGAGCAGTCCCCAGGGATGGGGCTGGCAGAAGGCTGGTGGGGAGATGTGGGAAAAGCCTTAAATTTCTCTGTTGCCTTGCAGGGTTTCAGCGGGCCTCCCCACGCAGCGTTTGCCTTGAGCTGTGACCAACGAGCGGTGAAGGAAAAATATGAGCATGAACCTGCCCATCACCTGGACTACGAGAGCGAGTTGTCCATCCGGATAGGTAGAGCTGGGCTCCATCCAGGCAAGCATCCTGTCATATACCAACTGCAGAGTGTACGGGGAAAATACCCCTGTTAAACTGGCACCTAGACTGTCACGTATGTGATTGAAATTAGATTGGTTTTGACATGTGCATGCAGAGTGCACCTTCTCTTCCCTCTCTGGATCTGTCTCTCTGCTGGCTCTTATTCCAAGAATCATTACTTCTGTTTCTACTTTAGTTCTCAAAACCACTTGCACGTCTGTCTGTGCCTATGAATTATTGATAGTTAGATATCTCATTCACCAGGGAAATGAAATCATCAGCTTAGCTTGAGATAAGTTTATTTTCAGCGTGGGCGCAGCGAGCGCTAACCCTGCCCTTGCCAAGTTATGTCACGTTGAAGGTGCCCCGCGACACTGACCCTCGGTGGCCCTCCCTAATTATAGACCAGGACTGGCAGTCATGCTGTCACTCCTTATTTTGGAGGTTAATAGAATTGTAGCTGCCAAAGTGTGGAATAAAATGCCTTGTTGGCAGTTATTTCCTCCTTAAATAGATTTTAAAGAAGGAACTTCTTAGTCAGGGTGGTGGAACCTCAGCAGGCTTCCCCAGGTCCAGGGTGTTTATATGGGACGGGTGGTGGCCACCCTTACAGCCGGCTGCATGGGGATACATCCTCTGAGTCAGCACAATTTTCTATTCCTCTACTTAATAGCAGCTTTTCAGTAGACAAAGAAAACGTAATTCAGTGAATTAATCTTATTGCTCCTCTGCTTTTTCTTGGTTTGAGAGAAACTGAAATAGCGGTTTACAATATCTTGAATACAATGGGGAGCAGACTGAGATGAAGAAACGATCCTTCTTCTTGCAAAGAATAGTGCTAGCCTCTTAAATCAGGCTCTGTTATTTAACTGCATTGCTTAATTGCATGTTTCATAAAGTGTTTCAAAATCCACAGGATTTTTCAGGACTTGAAATACCAGCTTGGATTTTTCCAAAAGGATGGAAGGAAGTTTTGTGCTAGACTCAATGGACCTTGGGTCCTGGATGTCTTTTAGCTCCTGGGGCAAGCGCAAGCTTGAAGACTGCTCTAGCCCTGCAGGCTGTAAGGCTGTTGCAAGGTTTTTGATATTTTTGTAGGGTGGAAACTTTACATCCCAGGTGCAGTTTAATTTTATTCTTCAAGAAAAAAAAGTAAGCAGCCCTGCAATTTTCAGAAGCTTAAGCTGCTGAGGGTTTTATGTTTTCATCTTCTCTTAGTTGCAAACAATAACAGTGCAAATTGTTTTGAGAATAGCAAATTTCCATTAGACTTCATTGTTTTTCCCCTCTCTGGGGAAATGGTATTAAGAATCTACAATACATTAATGCATTTATTGTCTCTTGCTATTTTTTTTTTTTTTGCTTGCTGAAATGAACTTGGTATTTTCACAAGATACCTCAAGCCTTCCAAGAAAGCAGCTTTCCCCAGCTCTGGGTACTGCTTGGCTGCGCACTGGGGAACGCTCTGGGAACATAATGGGTATTTTCAAAGTCTAATGGGTACTAAGTGGAATATTTCAGACTTAATCACTGTTGAATCATTGACCCTTCCTTCATATTTGCATGTTTTAAAATTGCTAAAACTGTGAAAACAACAAAAAAAAAATCCCAAAGCACACCGCTGCCTTGTTTTGCAGTTGTCTTTACTGCCTGGGGAGTAAAGCAGGTGAGGAGCAGGGGAGCTGGTGTGGAGATGGCTGGAGAACGTGTAAACATGCAGCTCTCCAGGGCCCTGCATATCTGAGGTCTTTGCTGTTAGAGATGTAAACGCATATTTAACGTGGCTGCACGAGAGGCTGGGAGCAGAAGCGACTGCGCGGTTACACTTGGGTGGTGGGATCCTTGTAGCTGCACTAAGCAAGCCAGAAGATTTCTTTTAGACCTGTAGAAAGGGAGATGGAGGAAATGCAATAGTTACACCTATCCCTCATCTACTCTGTGGGGAGAAAAAATTCTTATCCTGCTTTTTCCCCCCAGTCCGCAGCGTGTTTGGGTGAGACTGTTCTTCCCCATCTTCCCAAATCCCTTGGTTTCCCATCACTCGCAAGTTGTTTGTAGGGAGTGAGGAAGCACGGCACCATCCGGACGGGGCTGGGAGCCCCCCTCTTTCCCGGCGTGGCTGGGGCTCTGCTCCCCTTGTCCTCCGGCTCCTCTCCAGCAGGCTGGTGCCGTGCGATCGCAGGCATTGACGCTGAATCGAAAGGAGATTTTTACAGGAGTTGCTAACAGCTGGCTGCCTCGTGGATGCCTGAAGTAAGGCACACGTATCCATGTGAAATGGAGTATGGGCGGATTTGGTATGAATTGCAGTGAAAAGACTGTGTCTAGACTCGGTCTTTGACGAGTGGGATAATCACTAGGCTTTAATTACTACAAAGGAAAGGGAATCCAGCCTTGTCTTTAATACACCTGGGTAGGCAAGGGACGTAATCTGTATTTCTCTGCCTCCCTTGGAACAGATTGGGATAAAGCTGAGGAGGGTTTGTTCGTTCCTCTGGGTGCAGGTGAAGCCCCCTCCCATGGAAGGACCTGGCGGGCTGTGCCCTCCCTGCCGCGGGGGCTACAGGCTGCCCTGGTCCCTAAACCTCCCCCTGCCACCCCAGGGCTCGGGGCAGCTCAGCCTGCTTGAGTTTGCAGACGTTAAAATCGGGGGAAATAGTTTTGGCAGGGTCACCGCAGGCTGCGGGACTGGAAGGCCGGGTTTGACCCCTTAAATCGTAGCTACGTGCGCAGTGTTCTTGGGTAGTTCTCAGAAAGGATTTACATACAGCATCGCACCTTGAAACCTGAGCTGTGACTCATGCTCCTATAAACTGTATATTTAACAGTGAGGCATGTTGATTCTTTATCATATCCTGGTGCCGAATGATTCACGTTGCTCCAAATCAGATTACAGAGCGGAGTGGGAGGGCAACGATGTTCCCCATCAGCCTCCTCTGCTCTTGCTTTAATGTCCTTGCTACCCTATTGCAGGTAGGAGATCTTGTGTCCGAGGAGATCCTTTCTAGGTGTGCTGGGGCAGAGAACTTTACAGCAACGTGGCTGTAAAGTACTCGGAGTAAAATACCAAATATCATTTTGGTGCTCAGCTGGGCGCATCCTCAGTGGTTGGCACAGCTCCAGCCCTGGGGAGTTAAGAGTAGTTGTCTCTGAGCTGGCTGCTGACCCAAGCCACAAATAAATGTCTACCGAAGTACCTGGCTAACCAGCAGCATCTCTGCTCGCTCATCGTCCGTCCCAGACGCACGGACGTCTGTGCCGAGGGGATATGATGCGCTTCTGGCATCGCGCTGCCGGTGCTGTTAAATCGCTGATATTATTAAGGGGAATCAGGGTTTGTTTTAATGACTCGGTTGACTTTTGGTGGGGCGTGGTTTAGGAAATGGTACTGTGGCGTTCCTGCGTAGGTGTTCATAAGTAAATCCAGATGGGTTTAGTAATTGGAAAAAGATACTGGTGTTTGAAATAGTGTACTTAAGAAATGAGATTTCATTAAACTTGTTACTTAAATGAGCCATGAGTTTGGGGCATCGTAGAGAAACCTCATTATGTAGAATTTGTATTTTTTTTTTCTTTAAATTTGAGCTGCTGCATCAAACCAGCTGCAATGTCGCAGAGGCTTAGGCGGCGTTTCAGCTGGGGGTGCCCTGGAGCAGGGGAGGCGGGTGGGCTGGGGGCACCACCAGCACCAGACCTGGCGTGGGTCCATCCTGCTGCGCTGCCCCAAGACCCGCTGCGCCCGTTTTGGGCAGCATCACCCAGCCTCCGCTCTAATTTTCTACCTCCTTCCTGAGGCGGTCATTTTTTTCCATTTTTGCTTTATTTTTCTCCTTCAAAGGAAGTTATTGTGTACCAGGGCTGCGGGAGCGGACTGCACACCAGAGGAAGCAGACCCTGCTCACGTAGCGTCTCTTTCATCAGTGCCCGGGCAGTTCAGGTCCTGTAATGATGTAGTCAACTTCTGCTGAAAGGGAGGAAGGGAGCTGGGGAGATAAAAGAGGAGGCGAAACCCCTTGGGGACCGATACAAAGAGAGGGTGTGAGCTGTGTTGTGGGATTGGTACTGATGCTTCGGGCAGCGTATGGGTATGGTTTGCCTCTGTCTCTGGTTGTGTCCTTGCAGCCAGAAAATTCACTTTTTGCTCTGTTCCTGCTGGTGGTACCGGCTGGGTTTGGAAAGTCCAGCCTTGTCCCAACTTCTCAGGCTGCCCTGGTCTGCGGTTGTCCCCTGGTGCCAAGGGGAAAACTCCTCCATAGAAATAGCCAGTTCCCATCACAAGAGCACAAGCGATTTGCTGACGCTTACCTTGTAAATTTTCTCCTCGTTCCCTCCTTCCCTGAGCAGATGCAGAGGCCGTGAAGGAGGGATGATACATAAAGCCTCTCTAGCCGTGAAACCCATCATGATTCATTGGGGTAATATTCAGCTGGAGCCTCGCATGTGCATCTGGAAGGTTCATTAAGTCATTGCAACTTATATAACGCGAGGGTCCTTCTGCAAGGGATGTTCACCAGTTTTAGACAGTTCCAACCGTATTTGTAAAAATGTTGACATGTTCACACTGCGCTTGGTCTGGAAAACTGCTGCTTTCAAAAGGCATCAATTCATTTTGAGTTTTAACAGCCAGCCTCGATGATGAACGCCTCTGGCAATGTCTGTATCGATTTAAAAACATCCTAATGCCCCTTTCTGGAGTGTTTCAAATGGTTATTGACCATCCCTGTCAGGCTGGGTTCTATGGTTGGTTTTTATAGTCGTGACAATGTGAATTTATATATGCAGCACTTCAAAAAAATAAATAAAATCGGAGCACATAATCCCTTATGAACTGATGAAATGCCTTCTTCACACGTAGGTCTGTACCCCCGTTATTCTGGTTGCAGCCTTGCTCCTTGGATTAGGAATTTTGACTTTACAGGGCTAAAAGCAACCTGGTGGTTTGTTCTCCTTTGCTCTTGGTCAGCATTGTCACTGGGCGCAAACGCCTCTTGTTCTGC